TGAATTCCTCAACGGATGATGCAAACTCCTCTTTATAACAGCAAACCCCAAAAACAAACTAAACAAACTTAAACTCGTTTAAAACTTGTTAAAACATTCTCTTGGGTTAATGAGAACTGAGATCAATGGGGTATTTATAGCCTCCAAGAACCTCAGCCAAAAACCCCAAACAAAAGACCAAAAAGCCATCAGAGCAGAGCGGCGGTCGACCGAAAAAATTCACGGTCGACCGCGATGCAGATCCCAGACTGAGAATCGAGCAGGAACTTCGTCGGTCGACCGGTACGGTCGACCGAAGGAAATATCGAGCTCTCGGTCGACCGGTGCGGTTGACCGACAAACTCTCTGTTGCCCAGAAACAAATGAACAATTAAGCGGTCGACCGGTGCGGTCGACCGAAAACTGATATTATAGAAAAACAGGTTTTAGAGCTAATTTTTGAGACTTTGGAAAATTGTTAAAAATAACAAATGAAGTCCAAAAATAATAAAACTTTGGGAAATGTATATAAACATGTAAATGAACATGTTACAAAAAGAATTTTCCAAATTGCATTTCATATTTGTGAAAAATCATCATTTTGCAAAATAGTCCAAAACACAAAAATGTAAACATGTGAATTTTGACATTTAGGCTAAACCATGTTTTGAAACTTTGCACAATAATTATATAGACTTAATAAAACATGTATATGATTATTGTTAAGTCTATAAACTGAGAAAACAATATTTTCACAAAATTGCATATTCTATGCAATGATTTCAAAAACACAATAGTAAATATGAAATATATGATTTCATATTTATAAACATGAAAACTCAAAAACTATGTATGTATATATATAACTATATATATGCATAGAAACCAAAACTTATGTCATCATCAAAAAGGGGGAGATTGTTGGCCTTCTTGTTTTGATGATGTTTAACAAACAATTTATTACTAATGTTGTTTGTCTAGTATTTGTGTTTTCGTATTTATTGTAGACAAACAACGTTGTTGGAGGATGGGTGGAATAGAGCTTCAACGATCATATCCAAAGGAGGTTGGCGGAATGTCGGTGAAGCCTTGCTATTCAAAGTTCAAGATCCAAGTTCAAGCTTCATCCGTGAGATTACCAAGTCAAGCTTATTGAAGATCAAGATCATTGCTTGGGTAATTTAGTTTAGGAATTTATATTATGTGTGTTAGTACTTTAAGCTCAATCATATACACACATACACGCTTTGGTTTTTGGTTTTGTATATATACAGTTATATATATATATATATATATATATATATATACACGAAGAAACCAATAAATGTGTGTGTATAGATATTGAGCTTAGAGTATCTAACACACATAATATAAAATCTAAACTAGGTTACCCAAGCTTGATTGGTCTTCAATATGCTTGACTTGGTAATCTCGCGGATGAAGCTTGAACTTGATCTTTAACTTTGAATTGCAAGGCTTCACTCTACTATTCCGCCAACCTCCATTGGATATGATCATTGAAGATCTATTCCATCCATCCTCAAACTACGTTGTTTGTCTATAATAAATAAGAAAACACAAATACTAGACAAACAACATTAGTGGTAAATTGTTTGTTAAACATCATCAAAACAAGAAGGCCAACAAAAACGTGGTGATGACCCTCGCGTTTTGCTTTGAAGAGATTGTCAATTGTAATCTCTTTCTTTGAGTATTGCAAGAATTGTCATCTTGTAATCCTTACATTTGGCTCTTTGAAATATGAGAGTCATCAATTTGTAACTCTCGTCTATTGTTGTGAAAGTCTTCAGATTGTAACTTTTATTTGTTATCACAAAAGTCGTGAGATTATAATTTTTGTTTGTTGTGGTGAGAGTTGTTAATTTGTAACTCTCATTGGTTAATATGAAAATTGTCAGATTGTAACTTTCATCACCAGTACTTTGCGAAGATCAGCTATCTGTAGTAATTTTTAGACAACCTACAAACCCTTCCCTAAATTCTATTAAACAAAACTTCTTAAAGCCGGACTACAATAGGATACGTCCTTCCAAAATCTAGAAGCAGATTGGACAGGTGGTGTGCAACTAAGATTAGGATAATAGGACGAGTACAAAGAGGTAAGCACTTTACCCAATAATAAATCATTATGAAACATTTTCCACATCCATTTGGAAATAAGGGCAAGATTGAAATCATGAAGGTTGAGAATCCTTCTTTTTTAGGTTTACATATCAAGCCCCATTTCACTAGAACCTTAAATGGAGAGCATGATTCTTTTTCTCCCCATGGAAAATTCCTTTTGACTATCTATTTCTTTGATTAACCATGAGGGGAGTTTAAAGAAAGACAAGTAGTAAAGGGGGAGGGAGGTTAGGACAGAGTTAATTAGGGCGAGTCTATCTCCAATAAATAGTTGATTACTCTTCCATAGGGATAATCTCTTAGACATTTTGTCTAACAGGGGCTACCGGTCTTACTTGTTGAGAGTTCCTATTTTAAAGGAATGCCAAGGTAAGTGAAAGGAGGAGAGACAAGTGCATAGTTGAGGGTGTTCGTGAGGATGACACCTTTGGTAGGTGACTTGCCAAAGTAGGAAAGATTTGTTTTGGCATAATTTATGCCAAGACTACATATACCTTCAAACATATAAAGAATAGATTTTAGAACAGTGAAGTCAGGAATGGATGCTCTGCACATTATGATAGTATCAACATATTGGAGAGAATGAATGTTGTTAAGTTCACCTTTAAGGTGAAGCTCAAACAGATCCCCTCTGTCGATACTAGATGTTATCATTTTGTTAAGGACATCAACTGCTAAAATGAACATCATGGGTGAAAGAGGGTCCCATTGTTTTAGGCTTCTAGAGCATTGAAAGAATTGGGTGGTATTACCATTTACCAGAATAGCAGATTTGGAGGATGAGAGGATGTTATTGATCCATTGGCATCATTTAGTGTTAAAACCTCTAGCTTGGTGAAGACTAAGAACAAAGGACCAGCTGATGCAATCAAAGACCTTCATGAAGTCAATTTTTATCATGTATAACTCTTTACACTTAGAGGAGCAAGAGTGCAAAAGCTCATGTGCAATTGCACAAGAGTGCAGAGTGGATTTACCCCTTTGAAAGGCTGATCAAGTTGGGTCCACAAGGGAAGATAAGAAGGGGGAGAGTCTATTGGCTAGGTAGAAATTTTAGATAGCCCATTAAGGAGGCTAATGGGCCTTAAGTCTCTGACTTGAGAAGCTCCGTTAACTTTGGGTATGAAGGTAATGCACTACAACAAATTGCATTTTTCCCGACGCTTATTCCCGACGCATGGTTAAATATGTCGCCAAAAATTATGTTTTTCCCGACGCATGATTAAATACGTCGCCAAAAATTGTGTTTTTCCCGACGCTTTTAGTTAGCGTCGGCAAAAAATATATTTTTCCCGACGTTTATAATAAACATTGCTAAAAGTGTATATTATTAGCGACGTTTTAACTTAGCGTCGGTAAAAGTTATAGATTTCCCGACGTTTTTTTATTTTCGTCGGCAAAAATATAGCTTTTTAGCGACGTTTTAGAATTAGCATCGCTAATAGTATGTATTTATCGCGACGTAGTAGGCTAACGTCACTAAAAATACTCTTTTCCCGACGTTTATAATTAGCGTCGCTAAAAGTTATATTTTTAGCGACGCTATTTTATTTATCCGCGTCGCCAAAACCCTACCCCAAATCCCGCTCCCCGCGAAATAAAAAGAGGGAAAATTCCCCCCTTTTATTTCGACGAAGAGCAAAAATCACCCCCCTTTTATTTCGACGAAGAGCCCAAATCGCCCCCTTTTTATTTTGACGAAGAGCCAAAATCGCCCCCAAATTCTCTGAAAGTTCGCTGCCATCGTCGGAGATCTCCGCCACCGTCGAACTTCACCGCCGCCTCCGTCGGATCTCGCCGCCTCCGTCGGATCTCGCCGCCTCCGTCGGATCTCGCCGCCTCCTCCTCCTCCTCCTCCTGCCAAAATCGCCCCCAGGACCGTGGAAGGTATTGTTTCAGGTATTATGCAAGCCATCTACGTTCTCTATGCCTGTTGTTTTTAGAAATTTTTTGTTTTATTTTTATTCATGTTCACTGTGTGTTTTTTTTCATACTGAACTTGAGAGTAGTTTGTTCTGCTTGCTGATACTCTTTAAAGGTAATTATTACGTCTGCAAATCAATAAAAGTAAATTTTTTTGACATATCAAAATTATGGATGTAAACAGAAAAAAATCTGCAAATGTATGTGTTCATATCCTATCGAATATGCATATAAATATCAACAGATTTTATGGATGTTATCTGCTGAACTAACTTTTAATATATTGTTTTCTTGTTACATTTAATAATTTTGACAGCCTTCAGAGTAGCTGGTCCTTTAATCAATCTTTTGTATCTGATAATCATGCCAAAATGTCTGATCTCAACGAAATAAATATGTTTCACAATCCAGCACAATGGGTGGAACTATGGCCTTTTAATGCTTCTAATCCCAGCAAAATCTGCAACTAAATAGTAAAACCTATGATATGCAGACAGCACCAAAATTTGTCTGCTGGTCCCTTGTTATGCATGAGATGTCTGTTGAAAAATTTCTTGTTTTCACCTCAAAGATACATAATAAGCAAACAAATATCAAGGCCCCTTTCTTGGAAGAACTAATTGTTATATTGTTCTACTCATTTAAGGTTTTGCATATATAAGTAACTCTCAGATATGTAGTGATGATAATCATAATAATACATATAACATATTTATGTGTCTAGATTTTTTAGAATAGGTGAATCTAAAAGTTTGAGCAAATTGGGCAGGACATTCTTACTCCAATTAACAAATCATATGTAAAAGCAGAAGTTTAAACCATTTCATATGATAGCTTCCATTTTTTTGTTTCAAAAGTCATGCTGGTGCTTGACCATTAAGTCTTTAGTAAATCTTGAACAACTATGATGTAAAGCTTGTTTTAAACTTAAATCTTAAAAATATAAACAAAAGTGTCGGAGTATATATAGAAATTGGAAGCATGAGTTGCACGCCTATTATCTTGGTTTAATAGAGAAGGGAGTACCTGATCCCAAGAACCATCCACCGAAGCGTGTGGAGCCTAATGATTGGGTATCGATGATCGATGTGTGGGAAACTGAAGAATGGAAGGTATAGATCTCAAATCACTTTATTAAATTGTCATGTTAATTTTGGAATCTTGTTGTTATATATTTTAATAATATATTTTATATTGGTCATTAGACAAAATCTGATAAAGCGAAGGTGAGTCGATCAAAGTTGTCCTACAATCATATATCTGGTTCCCGATCATTTGTAGCAGCGATGTCACTAATCGTAAGTTTTGCTTTATAAGTTTTTACTTTTTAAATAAATAGACTATAAATAGTTATTAACAACCATAATGATAAATTTATTAAATTACAGAAATCAAAAAATGATGGGCAAGCTCCCTCTTTTCCGGAATTTTACAAGGAAACCCACTACCAAAAAACAAGGAAAGTATGGGTAAACGAGAAAGCACAAGATACCTATGTACGTATGTCCAATTTACTTTTGTTAAATCAATCTATAAAAAACTTATATCTATTTATTAATGATATGGATCTTACATCTTTAAAAATGACAGGAGCGATTAGTCAACAAGACTATCGAACAATCTCAGCCCGAAGTTACATCCCCGATGAATGAGTTTGAGATCTCCATTGAGGTACTTGGAAGGAGGCCAGGTTACCTGAAGGGGTATGGGATCCACCTTCGAGGGAGTTCATCTACCAGGTCTCTTGCAAAGTCAGCTGAGCGAGATGCTGAGGTCGTGGCTTTAAAGGAGACAGTAGCTGTGCAAGCCGAACAGATTGCCTCACAAGCCGAGCAGATGAATGCACAAGCTGAGCAGATGAACGTACAAGCTGAGCAGATGAACACACAAGCCCAGAAGACTGCTGATCTTGAGGCTTTAGTGCATCAGTTATTGGCACGTAGCCAGCCTGCAGCGAGCGGTGGTAGTAGAGATTTCTCATGTAGATGAGGTCAGACTTGCATTTAATTTTTCATTATTAGACTTACTAGTATTTAGACACGTGCAAAGCACGGTTTCTAAAATATTTTTTTGCAAATATTGAGCATGTTACCAAAATAAATTATTCTACTTTAGATATGAAGTAGAATAATTTTCCTTGTTTAGTTGTTCAAGCTTTTCCTCAGTACACTCATTTAATGAAAGTACAATATATGTTCACTAATTAGTTTACTTTTTTTGTATAACACGAAGTATTTGAAAACAATTAAAAGTGATGAAATGCAGGCTAAAGCTTTCTTCATATGTGCAATTCCCCGCATTAGCTTCATGTACGGACAAAGTTGGTAACTTCACAATTCTTAGAATCAAGGATACATGAAATTCATGAATTTCATTTCATTATGTGAAGAACATCAGAACTGAGATAGTGATCGCATCATTTGTCGCATTCCCCACATTAGCTTCATTTCATTTCATTTCATTATGTGCAATTCCCCACATCTGCTACCAAGAGTTTGCACGTCCATCTCTTGTCTCTCTTGTGAGAGGTAGCTTATAAACTCGTATATATATCCTTATTTTTCATTTTGGAAGTCATTCAGCTTGTTATAGTTTTATATATCTTGACTTGTTCATTGTTGAAAAAGAAAAATGAAATGGTCAAGCTGTTTGTAGTGTACCAAGCAATATAGATTTTAAATTATTCATTTAGAGATCATGATTATGAATATGATTTGCCCAATTGGTTTCATGAATTGACACTTACTTATTCTTTACTATCATCAGTCACTAGCAGCTCTTCACCCTGTAAAAACAAGCCATGATGCAACTTGTAAAAGCTCTGTGCCTCTGTTATTGTTGTACGCACCGTGCAATTCTCGGTATTGTTTGGTTAGTTACTGACTATATTTCGCAAAACTAGGAAGAGCATCACTGTAGAAAGCAGCTAAAGATTAAATATGTACTAAGTTCTTTCCTTCAGAGATCATGAATATCATTTGAGTAATCGATTTATTACTGAATTGTACTAAGTTCACCATGCAAAGCAGGCGAAGCTGCTATTGCAAGTGCTCTGTGATTGTTGCAGTGTACAATTTACTTTTGGTATTATTTGGTGATTTGCTCATAAAATTTCACAGAAATAGAAGCATCAGTATCTCAGATACAAGGAGGAGGATCCATGGAGGCCGACAACGAAGAAAAATATACAAGAGACGGAACCACAGACTTCAGAGGACAAATGATGTATCCTTGGTTTTTCTGCTTGGTTGGTCCAGCCGATATAACAAATGTGGTCAGGCTGATGGGGCTTCTGACATTCCTACCAAGTTCCTGTCCTACACTGTATGCGAGAGGCCAACACTGTTGCAGATGCACTATCTAAACTGGGCCATGTTCTTCCTCAAATCCATTTGTTCTTTGTAATTAATGATACAAATTTGATATTGTTGTTTCTAGTTTTCTTGATGACTTTATGTACTTGGATATGCAAGAGGAAGTTTGTAAATTAACGTTTTTAGCGCTCAAGGGGAAATGAAAAAATAGACTTTTATGTTGATGTGAATGAGATCAAATTTTTTGTGGATGTTCAGATTCAGTGTAAGCTTGTATTTGATAGAAAATATATTATTTTTAGCGATGCAAATTAGTGTCGATAAGCGTCAATAAAAGTAACACTTTTGCCGACGCTATATTTCAATAAAAGTAATATCTTTTGGCGACGCAATCTTGCGTCGGTAAAAATATACTTTTAGCGACGCGGAACGGAGCGTCGCTAAAAAGCTTATCTTTGGCGACGCATGATTTGCATCGGCAAAAGTGTAGCTTTTAGCGACGCTTTATTCTGCATCGCTAAAAGCTACACTTTTGCCGACGCAAATCATGCGTCGCCAAAGATAAGCTTTTTAGCGACGCTCCGTTCCGCGTCGCTAAAAGTATATTTTTACCGACGCATTGCCCTTTGCCGACGTTGAGTACGTCGCCAAAAGTGCAAGATTTCCCGCCGCCATTACACATATGGAAAAATTCAGCATGCTTTTGTCGACGCACAATAATATGCGTCGCTAAAAGATATACTTTTCCCGACGCATGTCGCGTCGCCAAAAGTGTACTTTTGGCGACGCAGTGTATTTGCGTCGCCAAATACATTCCTTGACGCACTTTTGGCGACGCGTTAGCGACGCTGTATTTTTCGTCGGGAAATATTTTTCCCGACGTTTTTTAAACATTTGCCGACGTTTTTGTTTCGTCGGCAATATTGTATTTTGTTGTAGTGATGAGAGAGAAGTTGATATTGTGAAGTGGTGAAGAAATAGCATGAAGTTAGTCAAAGACAGAAAAGATATCCTCTTTTATGATCTCTCATAACTCTTGGTAGAAGAGCATAGAGAAGCCATCAGGACCTTTGCCACTCTGAATTCTTCTTAGGTGAAGGCATTATCCAGGCCGTGAAGGCCTAGAACAGGGTTAGGGTATAGATGAGACCAATCTATGTTGAGAGTGGGTTGTTGGCTGAGAAAAGAGTCTGGAAGAAGCCGAAGAGACATCTCTGCTTATCTCCTTCAGCTGTAATAATTTGGCCATTGTGGTGATGCTAAGGATGAAAATTTTCCTTCTATTAATGGAAGCAGATTTATGGAAGAAGAGGAGGTGTTGTTATCTCCCTCCTTCAACCAAGCAATTCTGGATCTTTGACGCCAAACAATTTCCTCTTGTTTTGCAATCTCAGCCAGTTTTGCACGAAGCTCTACCCTAGAGGAGGATTCAGCAGAGAGGACTAGAGTCTTGGGTAGCTTCTAGGTCATGGAGAGAGGAAATGAGCTTTCCCTTGGAGGTTTAGATGGAGCCAAAAACATGTTTTTCCTCCTCTTAATCCTTTTTCTAAGGAGTTTGAGTTTAAATTTGAAGGCAAGCACATGATTGCCTGGTGGTGGAAGGAGAGTCAGCAGCAAGCTTTTATGGAGCTTTGGATTTTAAAAAGACACTTCATCTTTTTATCGCTTTTTATGAGTCATTGACATGGTAATGGAATGCAAGTATATACGCACTTGAGAACATACAATTATAAAAGAAATCACGTAGGTAAGATAATATTAATTTGACGTGCGCGTTTGTTTTGTACCTTAATAATAATAATTTAGACTTTTTGGATGAATTTTTTAAAAGAACCCCACATTTTAGGGAATTCCGCAAAATCCTTTGATCTTCCTTAAAGTTTCACCTTGAATTTTGAGCAAATTCCGTTCTAGATTTGAGTAATAAAGAAGGTTGAGGGGAAAAGAAAAAAAATAGCTGGAGCTTTTTTCCCCTTAATTTTGCGAGATAATTTAATTTTTTTAAAAATGGTATTTCATTTTGTGGAACTTTTCAAAAGTTCAAGGGATTTGTGAAACTTCCAATGTTTAGGGGGCTTTTTTTTTTTACTTTTAAAGGGGTTTTGTGCTACTTACCCCAAAGTTCATGTTTTTTTTTCAGTTTAACCCTTCAAATTTTGAATAACGTGATTTTGACAATAATTCTCTTTCTTGTTTTACATTTCATTTCTGGTATCAATTCTCAAACTAGGCCACCCAAAGACTAGAATTTGTACGTGAACAGCTGATACGAGGGCAGCGATCACGCATTCAGTTACATTTTCTAAGAGCATTATTCTAATTCATAATCCTATCCAAACAAAAAGAAAAAAAAACCAACCACCCCCAAAACTTATAGACAATAATCAGATATATAAATCCTCCTAGCTCTCAAAATATCAAAACACCCCTTAAGTTTGGGGTTATCAATTTTACCAGAAAACTCTCCTAAAAGTGTGAATCACAATTTTTACTAGGGGCAAAAAATCCTCATGTGCAAATTTTATCCAGCCATGTGAACATTTATGATTAGAGTTGTTATGGTGTTCCCATTTTGTCAAAGCGTAATTCTTTGCCAAGCAACGGACAGATGTACTTCTGCATACAATGCCCTAATCAACTTGACGGCCCAGGCCTAGTGAGGATTCCGACTTAGCTGACTTGTCAACTCGATAATCCTTCATGTCGACTCGAAAGGCAGTACCACTCGACCCTCTTGTCGAAGACGACTCGCCAGGAGTCCACTCGACCATTTGTTCAACGCCTCACGAGGACGACTCGATAGGCATTACTTCTCGGCGAAGTTAGAGGACAGCTTCAGCCACGAGCCTCTCTCACTGGCAACGTGTCAACATCACATTTAATGCATGACAGACACATCATCCCTCTAACCCCGATAGCTTTTATGACTCATCGGACCACGTGGGCACCACCGTGCCACCAATCACTTCTTGTTTAATGCTGAAGTGATCATTCCCTCCCACTTGTTAGCCGATACTAGGTGCTGACACAGCCGCTAGCCTGTACTTCATCACCACCTCTTAGTGCTCGGCCGAAATGACAAATCTACCCTTACATCCTTGGTATAAATAGATGTACTATTTAAACTTTGGCTAGATCAGATCTTTTTTGGATCTTCTTTTTGATCTAATATGATATTTAGTTTTCTCTGCAAATCATACTGCATACAAGCAAGAACTTTCACAGTTCTTATTTACCCCACTCAAGTTCACCAGCTAACTTGATCGTCAGAGGTACAACGAGGGAACCAAGCCCCGTCGTCTTACAAATTTCTACACGTGTAGATTTTTCAGACACACAACTTAAGAACCAAACATAAAGTCAGGGAAGAAAGCGGCCCCTCATAAATCCTCAACAAACTTATCCAAACACGGATATATATTGACTGTGTAATCATTAGAGAGTTTTTAAATTAAAAAATATTCACGTTAAAGGAGGTCGTTAGGGAGTTGTTTTTTTAAAAAATCTTATCGTTAAAGGAGATATTTAGATAAACCCTAAATCTAAGGGTTTTTTTTTATATATTTTGAAAGGTATGAGAGGTTGTTTGATAGTCCTCCGATGTTAAGGGGTATTTCCTGATATTTAGTCTTTTTCTACTAGTCAATTATCATTCTTGATCTATTGTACGCTTTC